ATGGCGGAGGCGTCGACATGGCAAGTCATGCCGCTCTCCAGGGACACCACCACGTGCTGCCTCAGTCTGCCGGCCAGCAAACACCTCAGTCTAGTCAGATGGCTGCTCATTCCGCGGCAAACAATGGCGGCCAGCCGCAACTGGTGCCCGTCCATGTCTTCTCTGCAGCTCATCCTCACCACCAGCAGCAGCAGCATCCCCATCAGCAGTCAGCACTGCCGCCTTCTGCAATGCAGCCGTTTCCGGGCGCCACTCAGACGATGGGAGGGCATCTTCAGCAGCAGCATCACCAGCATCCTGGAGCAGTNTCCTGGAGCAGTGCAACCGCTGAACGGCCATATGGTCGCTCAGCATCACCACCACCAATTGCCGCCCCATCATCAGCAGCAGCAACAACATCAACAGCAGAGTGGAATGGTACGCGCTGCATTTCCTCTACCACCTGGACATCACCACCACCCGGGAAGGATGGTGCACCACCAACATCTGCAAGGAGGAGGAGGAATAGGAGGACCAGTGCAGCACTCACCGCTGAACCCACTGAACATCGTCACACACTCGCACCCGCTTCCCTCGCAGTCGCAGATGATTGTGATGCCGCAGGGGCAGCAGCCGCCTCAGCAACAACAACCACAGCCGGGCACAAGTGGCACCCAACTGCAGCAGGTGCAGCAGCCAGCTTTGGCAGCAGGAGCTGCTGGCGGCGGCGTTGGAGGAGCCGCCTCGCCGGTGCACATTCGCTTCTACGGGCACGAGCAGCGGACGGTGATTCCCCGGGAGGTCTGTCTGATTGGCTGCGTCTTCTACATTGCCCCCAGCTACACCAGTGAAAACGAGGCCACCTCGAGGCTGGTGGCCGGCTGGAAGCGGCGAATTGAAAAGTTTGGCGGCCGTGTGGTGGACCAGTACGTGCCCGGACCGGGCAACAATGTGACGCACGTCGTCACGGAGAACATGAATGGCGGCGTGCAGAAGCTGGCGCTGGCGGACAATCGGCGCTGTGTGTCGGTCTTTTGGCTGGATGACACGCTGGGCTATGAGAGGCTGTTGCCGCCGTGGCGTTTCTACCACCTGCCCTTTGCCGGAACGACGCCCTGTAAGAACATGGTAAGTGCTACTCGTGTTTACTCGTCATTGCAATTGTTGAGCTGACCTGTCTTTTCATTTTTTCTTTAGATCATCTCCACGAGCAACTTTGACAGCGAGGAGCGGAAGATGATGAAGCAGCTGATTCAGCGGACAGGTGCCGTCTACACGGACTACCTGACCAGCAAGAATACAGTGCTCATTTGTAAAAAGTTAGTTGGTGATTATTTTTGCTTATGTGTTTTGATGTCTAATATGCTTTGTTACAATTAGACTGAAAGGGCCGAAGTACGAGCAGGCAGTTCACTGGCGAGTGGCCATCGTCAACATTCACTGGCTGCAGGACGTCCTCTTTGGAAACACCGATGCGCTGCAGCTGTCCAAGCTGGCCACGAAGTACCAGACGTTTGATGAGGATACCACCTTTACGAAGCACTCCATCATCTCCTCGGCGACCATCACACCCTCGCAAATGGTCTTCAGTGACACCTTTCACGTGGATTACAACTTGGTGGGCAACTTTATGGCGGCATGGCGGAATCCCATCTGCTTTGATCAGGAGGACTTGGAGATTAAGATGAAGCGGGTGAAGGAGGAGAAACGGCTGCGTCAGCAGGAAGAGGATGAAAAGAGGAAGGAGAAGATGCGACAGGAGGAGTGCCGGAGGATGCAGGAGCAAATGGAACAACAAAGAGAACTGGAGAAGATGCTCGCATCAGAGGCGGAGACCAACTCCTCTGCACAGTGCTCCTCCACAAAGATCAAAGAGGAAGAGCAGACGGAAGAGGTCAAAACGTCGGAACTAGCGGCGCTTCTCTCTGAGGTGACTGCACTGGCAAAGGATGCCAATCCAGCAGAGCTGCCCTCGGCTGCTACGAAGCGGTCATTCGATGAGATGAACAGTGGTGCGACTGGAAAAGAGGATTTGTCTACTACTCCAGAGATTCAACTGCTCACTAATGGTCCACTGCCTGAAGAGATAACAGTCGAAGGGGGGCCATCAACGAAACGACAGAAGCTAGGCTCAGGTGATGGCGAGAAAGAGCTTCAAGCGGATCAGCCAATGGAAAGCACTGAAGGTGAAGGTGCTGAAATAGAAGTTATTGAAATTTCGAATGAAGCAACGAATGAAAAGACCAAATCAACTGACAGTGATGACGTGCCAGAGTCGGTTGAAGAGGTAGCTGAAAAGTCAAAGACTGAATCGAAAAGTAGCACTGAAGAAGTGATGGAGGTTGAAGCAGAAGCAGAACGACGACAGCCAACGCTGTCTGAGCTGCTTTCTGAAACGGATGAACCAGATGTGATCATTGAAAATCAACAACCCACTGAGGTGGTGGTGGTCAGCAACGTTGATCAGCAGCAGCTGGAGGACGAAGTCTTTGAGACTGCTTCGGCGCAGCTTGAAAGCGCCACCACCACCACCAGCAACCTTCAGCAGCCAAACAGTGTCATTCCCCTTGTAGTCTCGGAGCTCTCAGAGAACAACAACAACAACTCCTCCTCCACCACCGAGACCTCCGTTGTGAAGGCGCCCTCTGCCGCCGCCAAAGTGCCCCCACCGAATGTGCCCACCGCCTCCTCCTCTTCCATTACTTCTTCCGCTCTACTGCTCGCCGCCTGTTCATCATCTTCCTCCTCGTCGATTCATGGCGGCAGCGCCTTTTCCACAGTTCCTACTTCACTCCTACCTCCGCCACCACCACCGCCGCCTCCGCCACCTCCTCGTTCTGCCGCCATTTCGGCGCTCTTCACCGCCGTCGACGGCGCCACCGAGGTCCGCCAGGAGCTGCAGTCGATTGTGGAGTCGCTGGGCGGGAAGGTGGTCACCGATCACCTGAAGTGCACCCACCTCATCACCGACCACGTCCTGCCCACCGTCAAGTACCTCTGTGCCTTTGCCCGCGCCCGTCACATCCTCCACTCTGACTGGCTGCGCGCCTGCGGCCAGGCAGGGGCCTTCATCGAGGAGGCCGCCTACACGCTGTGCGACCAGTCGGGCGAGGCCACCTACCGCGTGGACCTGGCGAAGGCACTTGCCGAGCGCACCGAGCACCTCTTCAAGGACACGGTCTTCCTGCTGACGCGCAGTCTGGTGCCCTCGCCGGCGGTCCTCTCGCGCATCATCACCGCCAACGGCGGCGTCGTCGTCCTCTACCGCCCGCCCAACGGCCGCCAGCTGGCCAGGCTGCAGGCCAACGGTAAACAGTTTGTCGTCGTCAGCTGTCACACTGATCTCCACACCTGTGACCGCTTCTTTCAGAGTCGAATTAGTAAGTGACATTGGGTGGTTCTTTGCAAACACAGTTTTTAATACCTTTCTTTCACTCTGCAGAAGTGGTCACTGCCCAGTGCATCATCAATGCCATTCTTCGCCAGCATGTCGACTACGAGGGANTACCTTTCTTTCACTCTGCAGAAGTGGTCACTGCGCAGTGCATCATCAATGCCATTCTTCGCCAGCATGTCGACTACGAGGGGCACGCATTGCGGCCAGTCAGAGAACAGCTGCCGCCACTTGGCATGTCGCTGTCGCTGCCCACCACCATCACCATCAACGGCGGAATTGGCGGCCTGTCACCGCATTCTGAAGGCAGCAACAACATCTGCAAACAGTTGACGGCTAACAACGGTAGCGGCGGCGGCAACAGTTCCCCGCCCCCAGTCACTTTGTCCTCCTCGAATCAGGCAAATGGCGGCGGCAGTTCCTCCTCTTCCTCATCTTTTAGCGACTTTCTGGTGCCGCCTTCTGCCGCATCCACCAGCATCGTCAATCACTAATTTGCATTTTCTACTCATTTCACACTCCTTTACACCCACCTACCTACACACTCACTACCACCAAAACCGATCCCGTCCTGAAGTTCTTCTTCCCTTGAAACTGCTCACAACTTTTCCCCCATTTCCCCCGTTTCTTTGACACCCCTCCCACTCTTATACACATTGTTCCTTCTCTCTCTCCTTTTCCCCCGCCCGGTTACGACCGTTTTGCATGAGTATAATTATATATTATCATACCCCTCCCCCATATTATATATTCTCTATATTCCTTGTTTTTCGTTTTTTGTCAATTTTATCATTTGCCTATGTTACTCTTCCATTTCTATTTATTTACCACCACCACCACCACCACATCCCCTCTCTTCCTCTTTGCTAAGCTTTACCCAAACTGTTTACCTTGTCACTTACTTAGGCCCCTAGGGCAATCAACACCGACACCCCCACACACCCCCAGACATCCTTCCACTGTTGTGATGTTCATCCTGTCATCCTTTCTGTTTCAATCATAGACTCCTTTTCCTTTACACATACCATTATGATCTATAGATTTTCATTTATAATATATAATTTAATTTGCTTTTTCGTTTATTTTTCACTGTCTTTTTGTTTCAGTTTAAGCATTGAGCATTCTAAGCACTGTATAGTCTCTTCCTCTATCTTTTACATGTCTCATTGTTCTCATCTCATCATTTGTTTGTTGATAATATTCGATGAATGATCACTGAAACTCAACTGAAATAAACAGTAATATCAAAATGCAGTGTGTGGAAAAATATGCAATGCTGAAAGGAGGGAGAAGGTGTGGCACTATGTAACAGATGAAAAGAAAAGGAAGTATGAAGAGCGATGATGATTTGTTTGTACATTAAGGAAGGGGATGATGAGGCAAGCAGTGAGTTGGTTCGAGTTTTGTACAATTTTAGCTTATTGCTTCGAAGAGGAGGAGGAAGGAAGACCACGCTCGTTTTCAGTTCTGTGAGGTGCTAGTGCCGAAGTCAACAAAGTAGAAGACGATCGAGTTAAGTATTATTACTCTTCAGGAAGTACTATTCAGTTTGTGGGCACCGATTTGTAGTTGGGTGATGATTAAATGCAGAAGGAGGATAAAGGGCACAGGGTTAGAGCTGGGGTGGTCAAAGCGGTCGACCAAGGGAGCCATTGAGGCCGTTGGAGGTTGAACCGACACCGGAGAAGCCATTGCTGCCACCGCCTATCAGCGAGCTGAGAGAGCCACCGCCGCCAGTCATCGGACTAGCACCACCAGTGAGTGCATTGTCACTGGACATGCCCATGTGCGGTTCGGGTGAGAGGCGGTGTTTCTTCTTTTTCTTATCCTTCTTCTTCTTCCGTCGTTCCTTTTCCTCCTCATGCCGTTTCTGCTTTTTGTGCTTCTTTTCGTGATCTCTACTGCTGCTGCCAATGTCGTTGCTGATTTCACTGTGCGAATCGTGCAGCGGTGTGTCGCCGCTTTTCAGTTTCTTTTTCTTGTGTTTCTTTCGCTGTGGCGTTTGGTTGCTCATAAAGCGGTACTGCTCAGGGATCTGTGAAAAAAATGAAAAAAAAGTTAAATACCCGGAAATTGTAAAACGAAAATTGCCACTTACAGGTCCAACGTGCAGTCGAAATGCAGAGTCAAGTTGCTGTTTGGTGAGAGGTACAATTTCTATTGAAGTAATGGGTGGATTTTCAATCAACTTCCGAAGTGAACTATCATCTTTTGATGCAGGCACGTCAATGTTTCCGGGGAGATTTGGCAAAAAGAAACTGAGCTGGTTCTTGATCTTTCGACCGCAAAACTTGTTGAAGGAGTGCTCCAAATTGTGGTACTGGATGAGGTTCGTGGCACCAGTCAGCTCGCTGGGCGCTGTAGGACAAATGTGTTGATGAACTTTTCAACTCTTTTCAAAACATTTCCACTCGCAGGGACTTACCAGGTAACTCTTTCATCAGGTAGAAGGGTCCACTGTGGACGATGGAGGGCGTTTTGCCGAGTGAGATCGTCGTCTTCAGTGTGCCCGTTGAGTCCTGTCTGGGCACCACCGGAGAGCGATTACCCCGCGGACTAGTTTTGGGGGAACACTGATCCGATGGCCGACGAACAATGTCTGACATCATCATTGTGACGGGAGGTGTGTGTGAGGTGAGTGCGTTGTGGGAAGGGGAACTAACTCGCTCCCTTTAGGGTCGGCGGCGTCTGGCGCAATCAACTGCCTGAGAACACTGCTAAATGCGAGCAACTTCTGCGATCGTGAGAGAACACACACAACTTTGAGCGAAACAAAATAATTTGTGTGTACTCCTCAAGGCGCCACCTGCTGTGATCAGTTGGCAACTTTTCGCCGGGGCAATTCACAGAGTGCTTCGGAGCAGAAGGCAGTGCAGCCAAAGCTAGGGCAGTGAAGCCCATTTCAAGCACGCGTTACCAGAATTTTCTGCCATTTTTTCGAGTGAACCCCTTATTGAAAAAAGAATCTGTCCGTCTCTTCCTGGATTTAAGTGCCACTATTGATTCCTCCTTTTACTTGTGTGTTTCCTGATTTTAAGTGTTTTTAGAAGAAGCGATGAACTTGAAACAGTATTTTTCTGGTGCAAATCTGATAAGAACAATTGTGTAATTCCGAGAATTGCTGGTTATCAAAAACGCCGAACATCGCCAAACAGCACCAGTCAAGAGGTTCTTCTTTTCTTTTCCCTCCTACGGGCGCCTCCACTTTTCCCCGCCATCACTTGCAGCAGTCACTTGCCCGCATTTCGAACGTACTTGCCGTGGAGTGTGTGTATGTGCGCGCACCACTCGATCCACACTTCACTTCAGTCGAAGCACCAACCGAAGACCAACCGTCGACGAAGAATCCAGCATTGTGTATGTTTCAGTAGCAGACACTGCCGAAGCACTGCTGTGTTCTACTGTTGTCCCAGCACAAGCAGCAGCAGCAACCAGAAGGCCGTCTTTCTCTCATTTTCTCTCTTACTCTCAGTTCCCGTTGCTCTCCGGTACTTTGCTTCCGTACTGTGCCTTCTCTCTCCATTCTCTTCCCTTCCTTCTATTCCAGTTCTACAGTTACCAAACGCCGCCGTCCGAAGAGCAGCTGCAGCGTCAGGCGACAACAACAAAAACATCCACGGTCAGCCAGATTTTTCTCCCTGCCGTGTACGGCTGCCGCGTTTGTCATTGACCGTCAGTGCCGTCACTTTTGTTTCTAATGTGTAGCGGCAGCAGAACGGCAGCCAGAACTTCATTCTTCATTTAGTTTTACCCAATCACTAGATCTGTTTTTGTTGTGTTTTATCATTTTATCAAACATCGCACAAGTTCAAAACGGCGACTGATGAAGAGCGGGGTTGGTGGTCACTGAAGAATGGCCAATCAAGTTTTGCCGAATCGCCTGCTACTACTGTACATTAGACAAATGAAAAGTCAATGTGACGTTAAATGATCTTGTCACCCGTCGAACGACTCGCATCTTCTTCTTCTTTCGCATTGAACGCGCAGTTTTTAGCCTTTTAAAATAGCCTTCTACCACAAATCCTTCCATCCACGCATTACGGCAATCCAGTTTGCTCAACTTTATTTGCCATCACCTTTACTCATCCTCACACATTGCCCCTTCCATCTCTACCCTCAACAGAAGAGTGCTCATCTGCCGGTGTCTGCCTTTCTCCACCATCCTCAGCCAATTAGTCTGTTGACGAATTCTCTCTTTCTCTCTCAACTTTTTTCTGCTGCTAAAAACTCTACTCTTTTTTGCTTCCGTGCTCAATCTTTCTCTCTCTCTCTCTCTCTCTTCTGCTGCCGTCGTTGCCTCTACAGAACTCTAATTAACGCTCCACCAACACTACCAACACCGCCAAATGACATTGCTTTTTGCACTGCAAACATATAAACAACTATACTCCTGGTAAGTTTCCTTTGGGTGGTTGGTGGCAGTTCTAGTTCACCACCACTAATAACAGCAACTTTTTTGCCGCAACTTGGTGCAATTTTTGTTTTTCTATCCCAGATGCTGCACTGCTTTCCTCGCCTCCCCACTGATTGGACTGCCTTTCATCGATTGGTAGGCGCAACTTTTTTCGGGTAAGTTGGTACTGTTGTGGTTTGTTCATTATTTAGACAAAACGATCTCGTTAGTGTGTAGTTTATACAAAAAATACTCTACATTTTCTGAGCACTTCAGCACTCTTGCAGCTTCGCCACTGTACGCCCAATCGATCTACTCTGCCACTTGGTAGTATGGGAATCGAAATAATTTCTATTTGCTGCGTTTCAATTCCAGCTCACAGTGTGTACGGGTTGCTACTGCAGCAGCAGCCACTACCTCAAATCATGTACAGGTGCATGACATTGACAACTCTACACTGTTTGCAACTGTCTGATCATACATGTTTAGCAGAATCGACACATTCTCGGTTGTCAGTAGATTCCTTCTTCAGTTCCAAAGGAGAGATCAGACGGCTCATTAGCAGCACTTAGCAACACAAGGTACAACCACTGTCGCCGCCACAGCATTCCGGTGCAAAATTTCGCCTAATGACTGGGCGATCTGAGGCATACTAAACGTCGTATCAGTGCACCTGTACAGTTGCTGTGCACCTCACCAGATCGATTCAGATATTGGTGTTTTAGGGTTAGAAAGAAATGAGTTTAGTGGTAGTACACTTTAGCAAAAGCGCAGCACTAGAAGGTCTCTTANCTCACCAGATCGATTCAGATATTGGTGTTTTAGGGATAGAAAGAAATGAGTTTAGTGGTAGTACACTTTGGCAAAAGCGCAGCACTAGAAGGTCTCTTCTGTCTGGTGAACTTGAATTCTCTCTTCAACTCACGCCCAGAGATAGAGTGAAAGATAGTTGCTGCTGCTGCTTCTTTAGTGCTGCAGTTTTTGCCCTCGAAAACGCCGTGTACTAGTGACAACTGAGTACGACTGTACGGCTAATCGCCGCACACTTCTACTGCTGTGCACTTCTATAATTCGTGCGTGTCGTCAGCACCTTCGTTTGCCTGTCACTGTTTTTCAGTGCCAGCAGGTTATGTGGTAGTGTGTGGCAAATAGTCTCGAGCGAGAGAAAGAGAAAAGGGCTCAATTTTTGTCGCTGAATGACGACGGCAAAGAATTGCTGGTTAATTACATTGTCGCCAAAAGGGACAGAGACAAATACAGAGACTGACTGACAGACAGACAGACAGAGAACAGTCTAACTGAAAGACCCGCCCGAGACTATTAAATGAAATCGTACGACAGTGTAGAAGACTGGCTCTCGCTGTCTTTTTATGATCACCGCTGCCAAGTGGAGTTAATGGAACCCGCTCTGCTTGCTTACTGAATTGTCTCTCTGTCTGTGTGTCATTGTGCCAGCATGGGAACACCAGAAGCGTACAACTTTGTGCCAGAATTGTTATTGATATTTGAGTGTGTCCTCACGTGATAAATTTTCTCAGATGGGTTGTGTATTAATTGCGGGCGGCCGTGACCATTCTGTCCTTCTTTCATTTTATTGACACTCGGACAAAAGAATCTCTTTATATGATTTTGAGCTCGAATTTGATTATAGTTTTTTCCTTTGCCAGTTTGTTCTTTCACTTGCATCGTCTCATCATTTTTCAACAACAGCACCAGCTGAGGCAGCTGTCACTGCATCTGTCAGCTGCCAGTGGTTGTTGTGTTGTGTGTTGGTGGTGGGGTTGGCAATGAAATGACAAAAATGCACTTTCCTGGCACTCTTTCTGCTGGTTCTGGTGTGTTTGTGTATGTTTGTGTGTTTGGCCTGCGTCACTATTCCTCTCTTACGCTGCGGATTTGAGCTGTTCATTCTTGAGAGCAGAAGCATCAGCAGCGGTAGCACTGGTTTCGTCACACTCACACTCGCACAAGCACTCTTTGCCGATGCTGCTATAAATACAGCAGTCAAGTATGTTGTGTGGCTTCCTTCCCCCACCACACTCACGCCACTTGCACGGTGGTGAATATAAAAAATTTTTCAAATGCGAGATGAAATCAACAGCTGCATCAGCAGTAGTGCTAAGACAGAGTGAGTGAGTGAGATAGAGTTGCTGAGTAGTGTCGTCTCGAGGTAACCGAAGAGGTTGCCTCGAAGACAAATACGCGCGAGAAATATGCGCTCGTCTGTGTTTAATTTAATTGAAGAGGATCGATTTTGAGGCGTGACGGGCCACTGTGCTGCTGCTGCTGTCGCCAGACTCTTGTCTTCATTGACGCCGCCACCACCAGCATCGTCTGTCGTCGAAGCTGTTGATCAGGCAAATTGGCTCATGGCTACAGGACAGTAGCTACTGCCACTTGCATTCTCTTCCTTTCTCGCTCCCTGACGACGTTTCTCTAGCGTAAGACAGGAGGGAGAGAGAGTTCGTCTTTGTCGAACGTCGTTAGGCAGCAGCAGCAGCAGGACTGCACTCGAGCCGCCAATTCGCCAAATCACTTTGCTAATTATCACCCTGCACTCGACGACTTCAGTGCCTTCCCCTCTTTTCTTTCAATTTGTCTTTATATCATCAATTTGCTTACTCTTCTTTTCAGTCTCTTCCTTTCCTAATCGCGTAATGAATTTTGATCAGCTGCTATTATGCGCACCTCACTAGCAACTTTTTGTACCTCACCACTACTCTACAACAACAGCAGCAGCAATAGCTGGCTCAAGATGACACCATTCCACAGCAGCAACTCCTTCGACTGCTTCTGATCCTTCGTTAGCAAGTCACATACCCACACAGTCAGTCTGTGCGCTATACACCCTTCTTCTTCTTCTTCTTCTGCAGCAGTACCTGGGAATAGCAGCGTTTCTGCTGACCAATTACCACCTCTCAACTTTGACAAGTTTACCAGTTGTGTGACTCGTCACTGAAATATGGCCAGCCTTTCTATGCCGTTGATGTTTAGCAGCCTCTTCTTCTCAGCTTGTCCCTCCTCAGCCAACCTGTTACAACCAGTTGGCTCGACCTCCACTTTGCCTCGTCCTCTTCTATTACTTCTACTGACACAGTTGTGGACGTTACAGTGCACTGCTTCTAACCTTTACTCTTTGAATTGAGTGATCCACAGTTATAGTTGTGGTTGTGGTGGTTTATTTGTTCATCATTTCTTTTTCTTTTTTCCCCATTCTTT